TAGCAGTGAAGTTTGTGTTTAAGATTGGGGTGGCAGTGCTGGGTCTGGGTGTCAAGTCCTCCTTCTTATTTCTGTATCCCAACCCCATGTATACTCTAGCAGCTGCAGGGAGGGAGCTGTACTTCTAGGATGCATTACTGCCTCCAGCCTGTGGCAAGCTAAGCGCTTAGATTCAATCTGTGCTGGAGTCCCTTGTCATTTAACTAAGAACACCCCAATGTATTGAAGGGACATTCTGTCTATAGGGGGAAAACTTGCCTCCTCAGCACAGCACTGCTTCAGATGGAAAGCTAGAATAAACAAGTGTTATTCCACAATGTCTCGATTTGATTTTTTTACCGCCCCCCCCCGAAGGAATCTCTGCAGAACTAACGTTTTTGCTTCCTGTCTACTTTTTAGGTTTGCTCAGCTGACCAAGGTCTGGGTGGACAGTGGAAATTTCAGAGGAGAGAAAATTACCCTAGGGTTAAATCTGGATCCTAGTGTACATTTAACTCTCTGCTATAGATGGACACATAAAGTAGGGGGAGAAGGAAGAGAGGGAGAGAAGGAGAGAGAGTGCCCCTTTTCAGTCATAGCCCCCTAGGGAGTTAGTAGAGGCTACCCCATTCTCAGTCACAGCCTGCCCTCTGTTTTAGGAATCTTGACGGGTGATTATTTCTACAAAAGTTACCTTGCCCCTGGCACAGCCCGACCCCAGCAAAACAACATACACTCATTCAACTAACCTTTACCCTTTGTGCCCTGCCAGGGAGCCCTTTCTCTTCCCGGTGGGTTCTTGTCTCCACAGGCCCAGGTGGAGCCTCCAGAAAGGAAGTTTTGGCTTTGTCCTTCTTGGTGTGTGGCTTGTGTATCATATTTTGCCCAGGGGGCTTGTTAGCAAAAGACGGCAAAACTCCATCCTCAGCGTTCTTAGCACACTCATTTAGGGATAAGGCTCCCAAATTTGCATGTCAAGAAGTTCTTAGTGCATGTTGGTGCTGCAGTCTGGAGGCCAAAACAATGCCTCAGATAAAAGAACGCACTGCTGCAGCTCGGGCTCCCCTCTGTGTCTTCCCGCCCCATTCTTACTTGAGCAGTTTTCCCTTCTGTGTGGCTGTCCCTTGCTTTTAGACTGTTCCTAACGGTCCCACTCCAGTCCGGGTCCTGAACGTACAGAGAGGGCGGCCTCTCCCCAGCCTTGCGCAGCAGCTTTCTTCTCAGGGCTTGTACCACTTTTCCACGCAAACGCTGCCGATTGCTATCGCTCTTGTCTGAATTTTTCACTCTTTCCTAGGACTCCTAGCATCAAGCGAACTCTTTTCTGAAAGTTTGGGTAGGGGGGATCCAGCTCCCTGTTCTCCTCCTGCATTCAGCAACCCCGGGGAAGCTCCCCAGACGCCGTGTAGGCGCCCCCGCGCGCCACATCCAGCCTGGGGCTCAGGGCCATTCGGGATGCCAGCTCTGCGCTCATATTCCATCTGGCTCCTGCTCCAGATAGTGGGGTTTCTCAGGGCGTCGGAAGCTCCCGTGTTGAGGCTTCAGGCGCCAGAGTCCGGAGGGGGGCGGTAGCAGCGTCAGGTGGCTGCTCTGCGTCCCCGAGCGCCACAGAGTCACTTCCTACTCGGCGCACAGCCTGGGCTGGAGCAGGAGCCCTCCTGCACCTCGACTCCAGGACCGGCGTTCGCCGGAGTTGCCGGGGCTTGGGACAGCGGCGGGAGAAGCTAAGATGTGACCCCCTTCCCCAATTGCCATTGCCCTCTCGGGTGCCTGTTTCTGAAAACAACAGCCTGCACTGGCCAGCGAGCACTTGCCTGGATCTTCGTGGAGAAGGGACCAGCCACTGGGCGCTCGCAAAGCCGGGCAGAAGTTGGACTGCCCTGGGCAGCTGTGAAACAGCTGTGTGAGATGGGTGGACTAGGAGACTGAGGGAGCAGAGCTAAGGAAGAGGGTCTTGCCCTGGGCTAGGGGTGGGGAGAGGGAAGTCGAGTTGCTTCTCGCTCTCTCCCAGATCCCGGAGTCGGCGTAGAGAGAGAAATGCTGAGCCCGCGTCCGGGCTCCTGCCTCCGCGGCAGCATCTTCAGTAGCAGCCTCAGCATCAGCACCGGCGGGACAGCGACAGCGGGGGCGGCGCAGGCGCACTGTGCCCGGCGGAGCCTGCAGTTCCCCAGCCCCGTGTGCGGCACCGCCACAGTCTGGGCAGCGGCGGCCGGGGGAGCGCTACTACCATGAACTGCCTGGTCCTCCTCCCCAGAGCTGCTCATCCGGGTCGGGCTGGAGACACAGTCAGGGGACCCCGCCGCCGCCGCCGCGCCCCCTTTTCTTTCGTCTCCATCTCCACCACCTTTTCCTCTTCTTCTTCCACCTTTTCTTCCTGCTTCCCCCCCTCCCCCGCCGCGGATCCTGGCCGCTGCTCTCCAGACCCAGGATGCCGGGGGGCAAGAGAGGGCTGGTGGCGCCGCAGAACACATTTTTGGAGAACATCGTCAGGCGCTCGAGTGGTAAGGAGAGTTGCAGTTCAGAACAATCCCCACCTCCATCCCGACCACGGCGCCCCCATCCCGCCCATCCCATCCTTCTCCTAAGGGGGGAGGGGGTGTAGGCAGTGGTACCTGGTGGCTTAGGGTGGGTGGGGGCCAGGAAGGAGGTGGTGGAGGGACGTAAGTTGCATCTGCTTCCTAAGAGATGTGCCCCCTCCCACCTGTCCAGACCTCAGAGTAGGAGCTAGGGAAGCGGGTGGGAGAAGCGGTTCGTTAGAATAGGTTTGAATTTGCACTTTGATGATGAGTCTTTCCTTGTCCCATCGCTTCCCAAACAAGCTTCAAGAGCTGACTAAATAGCGTAGAGTCGGTTTTTGGAGGAAGCTTTCTTTTTAAGTTGGGAACGACTGGGAAACTGGCTGCTTTATCACATTTAAGTCCCTGGGATAGCTTTTGGACCCACTGTGCACATACGAAAGTATTCCGCGTTAGGGCGAGCCATCTGAGTTGATCCTAAAAAAGTCAGTGCTTGGAACATGGGAAGGCAGTTACTAGGACCAAATGTGTGTTTAAAGTTTCACGTTTTTATTTTCTTCATTTTGTACTGGTTAATAGGCTACGTTTCACCTATGTCACTCGAGCAGAAGGGTAGAAGCAAAGCCACGGTTTCTGTGTTTTTAATGCACTTGGGGAAAAGATTTGAACAACACCATTCTACCTTGCTCCTGCACAGCAAGGCTGTCCTGCCTCCCGAGTGTCTTTAAAATATCACCAGTTTATGCTTGGTCTCCTATCTTCTGGATTGGAATGACTATATGTTTCATATTTAAGTTCATACACTTTTTATCTTCTGGGATTATACATCTTCTAGTTGGGTTTTTTTTTTAAAAAAAACTCTTTTATGTAATTTTAAACTCCACAAGCAAACTGTGTGGACTATCACTTGAGGGTTTCTTTTCAAAATCTCTTCGTGGAGAACTCTGGGAAAGAGAATTCTGCACTTGGAGTTGAGCAGGAAAGCGGTCGGAAGGCTCTGTGTGGCTCCTGACTCCTTGTTCTGTCAATCACTGATGGAAATTTATGTGTGTGTGTGGGGGTGGAGGCTTGCACAGCAGACACGATGTGGGTCTTTTGTGTGAAAATGTGGTTAAATGTGGTACACACAAATGATAACCAATAACTAGACACAGAGATGCTGGCTCTGAGGTGGTAGCTTAGGCAGCGCCACTGTTTAGATTGGTGTCTCTTTGAAAACCAGGCTTGCAAATGCATCCTTGGAACTGGAGTAACCTAAGGAGTTTTCTTTAAATGTCCATCCTGGAGTTTGGTTTGGAGCTTTGTGACTCTTTCTTCCACTTGAGATCAATGTGTGGTTCTGTACAAGTCTAGGGCAGCAGTGGGGCACATTTGGATTAAAAAGAAAAATAGCTTATAGTGTTGCATGGTCACTTTAATCCTTGCAATATTTTTAGCCATCCCAGTGTGAGGTTCATGCGCACTTTGCACTTTCAGTTTTTATGACAATATAAATTAAAATATAAGTTTGTAATGGCACAGAATGTCCACTGCCTTCTTTTATGAATATCTCACACAAACCTAGAATACAGGGAGCATTGTTGTTTAAGCAATCCAGTTGCTAGGGGGCCTTCAAAGGTTATTGGAATCAACTATTTACAGAGACATGGTGATTTTCTTTCTGACTTCTTTTCTTTAGTTGTTTCTACTTCATACAGTTTGCCTTTTGAGAAGAGTTTTCAGGGAAGGTCTTAGAAGACCAGACCCATGGGCTCTCTGCCGCTCTCCTAGGTGAAGAGAAAGACCATGAGAAGCCCTGGATTGAAGCTTATCATTGTAGCATTGTTAGTGGAACAACCTTTTTAGGTTGGAACTGTGGGAAGGGTGTAGAATATGTTTCCATCAGATGTGGCTTGAAATGGAGACTTACATTGTGTGGCTCGGGCCTGTCTACTCCTGTCGCCTCCATTTTCTACCTACTAACTAACATATGAACAGTTTATCTTTTTTACACTTTGGGATTAGAATGGTTTCCTAGCTTAGTGCTTATTTCACTGGATAACACCAAGCATGCGTGAGATTGACCTGTTTTGACATTTAAGAGTTCCACCTTTCACGGTCTATGGCTAGCTTTGAAGAGTAGTTAGACACAAAAGCTTGGGATTTTTTTGGGAATGTGTTAGATATTTGGGGACGATTCATGTCTATATGTAGTAAGCACTGAAAACCCTCAGCAAGTATCTGAACTGGAAACTGCCAGATGTGGTTGGTCTACCCATCCATGTGGGAGGGACCTCCAGTTGTCATTTCGACCTGATTTGGCAGTGAAATTGAAAAATTCATCCTAAGAGATGGTTTAATTAAGAGTAACAGATGAAATTCCTTCCAGGAAGGATCCTTATAGATGGATCAGGATTGTCACACTGACGATTTAATCATTCACCAACTTAGCAACATCGGGAATGAACTACTGGCAAGGCTTTAGTGGGAAACGGAAGTCAGGGGGGCGGCATTTCCAGTCCATTGAAGAACTGAAGAGCCAGAGACTGATGTTCTATATTGACTCTCTTTCCTTCCTCGTACAATATCATTCTCTTTTGAAAGCAGATCTTGTACTGAAAGTCAGATAAACGTGTGTAGAAAGAGGCAGAGATAGATGTCAGGGAAGCCCACAGACAAAGCAGGTAGACAGACAGGCACCCAGATATAAAGACAGATACAAGGGAGGCAAAACCTGAATAATTCACAAAGACTGACACACAGAGAGAGAGACAACCAAAAACACATCCAGACAGAGACAGAAACACACGTAGACACTCAGACACACAGATACACACACGGGAAAGGAAGAGAGGGAGGTCAGGAAAGAAAGGAAGTGATAGAGGTACATAGATAGATAGATAGATAGATAGATAGATAGATAGAGAGAGAGAGAGACAGAGAGAGAGAGAGAGAGAGACAGACAGAGAGAGAGAGAGAGAAAGAGACAGAGACAGAGACGGAGACCAAGAGAAGAATGAGAATCAAACATTTGTATTTGTCCATGGGTAACTGGTGAATTGAGAGCTCAGGAAGTTAGGAATCTATCTATCAGACAACTTTCTGGTAATACAGAGCAAATGAGCTAGAGGGTGGCATATCAGCACACAGTTCTTGAAGCTGAGGATTTTGTAATCAAACTCTGAAGTCCTCAGCTGCAGTGCCTAGGGGAAAAATGCTACCTTCCATGCCCTGAGTGGCCACACAGGCTCTCCGCTGCTGTTTTCCTCTGTTTCTTTTTCTCCCCCTCCTTATCTAGTTGAGTGTTTTAAGCCAGAATTGCAGGTTGTTACTGGTGACTGTGTCTATAAAATAAAACAACGTAAGTCATTATGTAGGATAGATACATTTTATAGCCAACTTTAAAATGGGAGAAGCAAGGAATACTCCCCGTTAGTTTTAAGATTAAAGACTCGATAAAATAAATAAAAGGAATATGATAATTCTTAACTTGTAAACACTGAAAGCCTATTATTTTTCCCAGAATTTGTAAAGGTCAAAAGTATAAAGACAACAGGAGCATTTAGATAGGCATTAAAAATAGATTTTTGATTTTGATTGACATGTTTATAGGCTGTGGTGTAGCATTTCAATAATTGGGTACAATGTGTAATGATCAGATCAAGGAAAATAATGCATCTACCTACCTCTTTGAACATTTATCATCATTTTGCCTTAGGAATAGAATAGTCCTACTGGCTGGTTTGAAATATCAGATTGTCCACCATAGTGAAGTTTAAGTGTGTATTTGGCTATTTGGCTCAAAATGAGTTATCAAGAAGGGAGGGCTTGAGAACTGTGGGAAAGTTCCACAGCCCTGCTGTGGAAGCCACCTTTCCTGAGGAGCCATGGACCAAATCTGTGTTTGGCATCATCAGCCCCTCCTCTCTCTTTACATCGTCAATGTTCATGCAAGCTGTTGGTTAGTGTCAACTAGACTGTATAGAGATGTAAGCTCACATGTAGAATTAAATTCCCAAGAGACTTTCAGGTGGAATATTAGACAAAAACATTGTATCCAAGTCCTCAAGGTGCCCTTCCCTGCAGGCAGTGTATTTCACCCAGGTGCTCTCTCTCTGAATCCCAGAGGAATAGCCAGCA